TAATTTTTAAGAATACTTATCAAAACAAATAACTTTCAAAGCAAGCCTAAGTATGTTTCATTTAACTACAGTAGAAAACAGCAAATATATTTTGTTATTTATTCTATTATTTATGTAAGTATGCCAGTATATATAAAGTATAGAAAACTGCCCCCCACAGAGGCTTTAATGAACATGTGTTCATATATGCTACTTATTCTTTCACCCAGTGCTTCCTTTCACCTACTTCCAGCCTTAATGATACATGTGTACATTTTTAGCTGTAGTTTGAAATATTATAAAGCTTAATTTCATTATTTGAGAAAGCAGGCTGTGAGCTGAAGGAGCTACATTAATCATTGGATTAATTAACATCTATCACAAATATGTAAAATATAAATCATACTCCAGAGGCGTTTTGCATGTGTTAAGAAAAGCAGTGATACAATCTGGGCACAAACATCAGTCCCATCTGGCATTGCACCGGTATTTTTCCCTGGCCTTAGCCATGGAAAGTTGCTGGGAATTTGTCGGGTGTCCCACGGCGCTCTCTGGTGGTTGGTGTCACAGGCTCCTTTCCATGTTTGCTGGACAAAACGAGTAAGTGAGGAATTGTTCCACCATTTTCATCACTGGCTGTCTCAAGTTGCTTCAAATGAACATCTGTTGTGCACTTTTATCATTCTAGGATGCCACAGTTTATTTAAGGAATGATAAACACATAGGGCAGTGTTGCCTACTGGAAAATGAAGGCTGGCCCAGTAAAAGAAACGGGAAGTTTTGTAAAGCTGACTTGAGAAGGAGCTGGCTTGCAAGGTCATGACTGGGAGTTGTGTGCAAGGACTGGTGGCCACATGTGGCCAGACAAAGGACTAGTAGTAGGATGTTCTGGTGGGGTCAGGAGAAGAGAAACTGCAGTTTTCTTACTGTCCTAGCCCAAACTATTTATTTATCACAGAGGAAGGAGGGATTGGGCTTGTACATTCTGTGGGTATATTCAGAAGAATAAAAACTGATATCTGGATGAGTAACAAAAAGGTGAAAGTAGCATAACCACACCAAAAGATATGAGCTAAGTCAAGCACCTGAAACATCAGGCTTTGTACAGTGAAAAAAAAAAGACAAACAAAAAACTGTCTGCAGGCAGTGGCAGACTGGCATTGAAATATGGCTATTTATGCTTTGGCTTATGGAAGTTAACCACTTTTTCATTTTACAGAGCACCTCACGAAGACCACCAGCTTTCCCTGGCTCCTAGTTTGGGGCTGCCACTGTGCCAGGCTTTTGTAGAATTTGAAAATGGGAATTGTGACAAAGCTGTAGACCTGCTGTACCCAATCCGTTATGAACTAGTCCAAGTGGGAGGCAGTGATGCTCAGGTAAAGGAGATCCAGAAAAAACTTTTTGATGTGACTTAATCCCCTTTCAGTAGCTGCCATTAAGCACTTACCTCATCAACAGCACTTCTGTCTTAGACAGTGAAAAGCTGAACTTGTGACTGAATCCTGTTTGCAAACACTTACTAGCAGGGTTAGCTATTTATTTTTAATGCTGATATGTTTCCTTCTTGTGAATTTAATAGTTTGGTAACCAAGATATTGTAACCAGCAATACATTATAAATTACTTATCAGTCTGTATTTTGCTGGGGTTTTTTTCAGAGAGATGTTTTCAGCCTGTTACTGATTCATGCTGCTTTAAATTCTAAATCAAAGGCCAAACGAAACCTTGCAAGGTGAGTATTTCCCCTGATAAATATTTGTGGAAGTAGCATTGTTGCTAAAATTAAGAAGTAATGAATATATTCAAACCAATAAATTTAAGGCTAAAATTATATGCAAGCATTTGTGTTAAATGTAGCAACATTTAACCAGGATAAAAAGTACAATACCTTCCACTCTTGCATCCTGGATGGATGATCTGTGTATGTTCAAGGGTAGTTGGTTTTCAGATGGTTCTGTGTTCAAATATGGCCTGTTGACCATGTGTATTATGGACTGCTAAGCTTCTGTGAACTGCTGCAACTCCAGTCAGTGCCACTCCTGACATCTGCTTTGCTGGGAAGTCAGAGTTGTGCTCTGCCAGGTGGGCTTGCCTCAGCACAGCCTGTTTGGCAGAACAGTGCACGTTTATCACCCACTCCTCACCCTCCTGCTTCTCCTTTCACAGGTGTCTCCTGCATGAACGCGATGTGATGAGACCAAAGTCACCAATGACTGAGCGGCTGATCAGGAAGGCAGCGGCCGTGCATTCCATGGCATAGGGCTTTCCTCCAGCTTCAGCTGGAAGAGCCAGGAGCTTTCCACAAAGTCTGAGTGCAGGGAGTGCAGGGATGCTGTGAAGGAATTTGAGGAGCTACTTAAGGTAAAAAGATCTGAGAATAATGGCCTTAAAAAAAGGACAGGGCTGTTGCATTTCTGGAGGTTGTGTCTTAGATGATTCCACAAGGAAAGAAGAAAACTTGCTGATAATGCACAGCTTTCTGGGGTATCCCAAAGGCACTGATGCTCTGCTATGATTTCCTGAATGTTCCCTCTTGACCCTGATTATACACAGTGCAGTAACAGTGCCTGGATCTCAGTCTTTCTTTGGCCCAATTTGTTACTTGGTCTACATGTGAAGTAAACTGCACTGGTAATTCAAAGGGAGCTTTTAAATAAAGCCAATAGGAAGGTGTGAGGCCAGAGCCAATACAGGCTTGAACTGAATTCCATGTCGAGCTTCCAGCCCGTTCAGGCAGGAGTCACAGATCTGTCTGCATTCAGGATCTCTTTCCAGATACACATTTTTAAATTCCCTCTCATAAAAATTTCCTTTCAATATAGCACACCAGAAGTTTCTGGCATTATTGGGTGAATGAAACCAGACAAGATCAGACAAGAATAATGTCTATTTTGACATGGGTGCTCCCTCAGCACTTTTAAATCTTTCAGAAAGAAGGGAAAAGCCTGGATTTCAGCTGAACAGTACCATCTCTGAAGGTTATGTTTGACTGGGTCTTTGTGCTTCCCTGAGCTTTTGGATAGTCAGGACTTACTACCATCTCACTCATGCAGAGTCACTGCATGTTGGCAAAGGGGGGTTTAAACCAGGGTTAAAGCACACACTTTGGAGAGGTGAAGACCAGGAGGGAGTTCTGCCATGTAAAGAGGGCTCAGGGGGACGGACGCAGTTCTGTCCCAGCCAGGTGGTGGGACAAACTTCGGTGCTGCAAGCCAGGCATTATGTGAGCCACGGGCCTCGAGGGAGCTCTGATGCCTCTGGATTCCTGCAGCATCCCAGAGCTAATACATTGTCTTGTAATAGTATTCCAGAAATCCCTAATGACAGGGAAGATCATATTTCACACCAAAACTGAACTCATGCCTCTTCTTCCAGAATAGAAATCCCACATTCTGCAACTGCCCAAGCTCTGGCTTTGCTTCCACATCTGTAAGCTCTCCTGGCCTCACAGGCCTGCCCCTCCTTCCTGTCCAGCTCAGGCTCTTCCCCATGTCCCACAGCAGCCTTGTCCTACAGTTTCCTTTTAACCTAAGAAAGCACTTCTGTAGCTGGCCCTGCACTGCCCCAGAGTTCCTGCATTGCGGAACAAGAGGTAGAAGTGTTTTGCTGACATTTTGATTTACCCAATCCTCCCCTGAGGCAGAAACAGCTTATTTCTGAAGCAATAATAAATGAAACCACGTAAGGGATGGCATTCCTTGCCTTCAGGTCTTCTGATTTATGAGCGTGCTGTTCTTCAGCTTCATCCACTGCTTGTCTGTTCAGCCACGGTGGGGGGTGACTCACCTGGGACAAGTTACACTGGATTTTTACTATTATTTTTAATAAGTGCATTTCAAGCAATGACTTTAGACAGGTAACTTTTTACTTGGGGAATGTAACAAATTGTATGACGGAACAAAAGCCTGAGACAGCTCTGGCTGGGGTTGCAGGGTATCATGAATGTAATCAGTGACAGCTCTACTGTCAGTAGAACATGATTGAGAATTTTGTCTGCTTTGCCTTAATAAATTCAAAGATGATCGTTGTCAACAAGCAAGTACATTACTTCTTTGCATGTGTGAAGCTTTTAAATGTACTATTCAGCCTAATTTCACAGACCTGTAACAGTGTGCACTCACTTTGTTTCCATCACAGTGGCCAGAAGAATCCAGCAGTGGAGAGCAGCAGTATCTGTGCTTGCACAGGGTCACAGCCCAAGTGTGGCACAGCCTCCCGGGGGTTTTCTTTGGTGCCAGTTAGGAAAAGGCTGTCAGGTGCCACGAGGTGGGAGAACCGTTGTTCCTTTTCCATCCTCCTGCATTCAAAGTATGCATTCTCCAGCCTTCCTCCCCATTCAGCTCAGTTATCCAGACTGCAGCTCTCACCTCCAGTTCACCCCTCTCTTGGAAAAGCCAAAGCCTTGTGCACCAGAGAGCTGCATCCCGGCTCCAGGGTGGGTTGGACCATGGAACAGCTCTGCAGTTCATGTATTGCTGTGTCCTTACCCTGTGTGTGGTGATCTGAACTGTTCCTAAGCTGTCAGCATCTCACTGGCACCCTCCCCATACAGGCCTGCCTTGTCCCTCACAGGTGTGGCAGTCTCTACAGGTGCCTGATTCAGATTCTTTAAAAATTACTCATTTGCATATTAAAGAAATACATGCTTCAAAGGTCTCAATATCTCACTACTTCGAGATTTAAAACTAGCAGTTCTGCCACTACCTCACCTAATTCTTTCACCTTTTCTAGGGACTTCAACTGCTCAGTGCAACTGTTTAATTACATGAAATCTAACCAAACTACCCCACGACTTTAATATTAAACATCTCGTAGTTAGCAAGTTAATTTACAGAAATACTCACCCTGAATCATGCTATTCTCTCCTTAGTAATTAGCTAAGCACCTACCCTACAATGGCAGTCCACACGTGCAGTTCCCTGGTTCAGAAACACTGAAGGAAGATAGGGAACGCAGGCAACGGCTGGTTCACTCAGCATATTTAGTCTTGCCATGTTTATGTAAAGACAAACTGCACCCTGAAAGTGCTGAAAACAGGTTTTATTTGCAAATAGAGCAAGCTTAGTAATTCAGGAACTCTACAGGCAAACAAGAGAAGAAGAGATCTTTAAAGTGTTAAAATCTTCCCCACGTGTTTTCATTTAGTTCTAAGTAATTTCAGTAAGATTTTCTGGATTTATCTTTTATGTTCCTCTTGGGAAAAACTTGGTAACTTTGAGTGTTGACAGATTTGTATCACAGATGCAAAAACCTTAGAGGCTATTGGTGTTTCTGTAAAGCTTGTCTGAAGGTAAAAACTACTGCTCCTCTGTCCTCATTCCCAGTTTCCCTCTGAAGAGCTAACTGCCTGAATGTGGCATTTTGTACAGAGGGTCTTCAGTTTGATCCACTTACAGGCTCCCTGTTAACATCCAGCAGAAACTGCACAAGTTTCTGATCCAGGATCACCCCCAAAACACAAAGAGGATCCTCACTTGTCAGCACCCTGCCCCACGCAAGTGGTCAGCAGAACATGCAGACGGTGCCTTAGGACAGCAGTTCTACCACTGGCCTTGAGAGAAACTAACTGATCTCTTTTGGTCCCGTTCTACATCTGGAAAAACGAAAAATACTGCACCAACAGTACAGAGTATCTCTATGCTCCTTAAGGAGTTTCTCCTGTCCTGTTGCGCTATGTGGCGACATCTACTGGAAAGCCTGGCTTGTTGGGACACAGCCTTTGTGTCCTTACAGCCATTAGTTGCAGCCAAACCATCAAATTTTGGTATCTGCTTACTCATATGTAGTGGCTTTCACAGCTTCAGTTGAGCTCTGCTTTTGTATAGGTTACAGCAAGTTACTGCAAATTTCCACAAAGAATCAGCTTTCTGATCCATCTGCCATTGTACAGATGAAAATTCTCGAGAACCAACAACATGGATTTAAAATACGCTTTTTCTTGTTTTGTTTACCATTTTAACTCGAAACATATACCAGCATTAACAAACAAACTCAAGTCATTATTACCTACACTGAATTGTGTATAATAATGATAGATGAGAGGATCAAGAACAGATGAATTCTGTACCAGAAAGGATCTCTGGCTACTAAAAATTTGAAAGCTTCCTTAAAAACTACTGTACTGTTAATTTTTCTTTTTAACTGTTTGCAAAGATAAATCCTCTCTATTTTTTTTTATATTATGCATTTACAATTATTTACCCGCAGCAGTCATAACATTAAATTTCCCATCTCACAATTCTGATTTTTTTGCTATGGTTACTGAAATGTTTATGCTTCATTTAAGAGAGGAATAGAAGATAAGACGGTCACAACAAATGTAGTATCTGCTTTGCCAGCCCTCCTCAATGCAAAAATTGTTTGGATTAACATTCCAAAGAACTGTATTAAAAAGAAAGAAGTCACCAAGTAGGAGAACACCTGCAATACGAAAAACAAGACGAGGGGCATAAACTGCCATGCTCCTCTAAGATATGAGACATTTACTTTTCTCCTGTTTACCTTCTCCTATTCCATCCTCTTTACACGCTCTTATTCCTGCCTCTTTCTGCTGTCTTATTCCCTCCGCTTTATATATTGGTATTGCTGGTTCCTTCTGCTCTCTTATTGTCTCCTCTTTATACTCTACTATGTACTCTGGGTAAATTTGGTGTTTTTCAAAGACAACAAAAACAGAAGGATTTAACTCATTATCCACACAGCTGTCATAAAACCACAGCTTGTCAGCACACTTCTTTGGGGGACGAACATAGTCAGCATTGCCTTTAACATAATCTCCAACCAGAACACGAGCCACGAACATCATGTGTCCCTGCAGCGTGGCCCGACAGTAGGCATGGGAATAGCGAGCATCTCTGGCAAAGTAACTTCCTAGAAAACAACATGAAAACGTGGTTGTGAGGAGAATCTATACAGTGACAGCAAAATCTCAGCATCCTCTGGGTTTTCAGGAGGTATCAGACTCAACTTCCAGGACTTCTCTTACTCAGTTTACAGAATATGACTGAATTTTTTGCAAGAGAGGGGATTGCACTATGTAATTTCCATTCAGTATTTGCTATTTTAGGAGTAATTTTTTAAAAGGTATACCAACAAGCACAATACAGGTCTGCGTGTTATGATGAGAGGGACAGACAAGAACACATGAGGACCTTCCACAATCACACTTGAGGGCATGCACATCCCTCTTCTCCCTGCAATACAAACTAATTTCTCATCTAAGTTCAAATAATGACCTCAGACATCAGAAAATGCCACCTACAGCAAACCCCTGCACTAATGCTCTTGATACCTTGTGAGAAGACTTACCCCCATCCCAAAGCAAATCCCGGCCCTCCTCAGAAGGATCATAATACATAATATAGTTCCTATATTATTTTTTCACCTTCTATAGTTAGACTTCAGAACTTTGATTGTTCCATTATCAAGGGAGTGTCAGCAGACATCTCACTTTCTACATACCCTTTCCATAGTTAGTTCCATTGCTTCCACAAATTCTCCAGTCGAAGTTCTGAGTGCAGATCGTTTTCATAGAGGTGATGTCAGTTCCATGGAACAGGAGCTTTTCCTGGACTTCCTTTCCTCCATTTTCCCTTTTCATCTTCTCTTTTTGCCTGGCAAAAATGAAGGGGAGAAGACTGTGAGCCATGGAAGAAAAGGGAAAATGAGGTTTTTTGAACAATTCCAACAACTGTGTAACATCCATGTAAATATCAGCTGGATGAGGTTTCCAGCCTGCTCTCTCCTCTCTGAAGATGAGACACACTAGCAGCATGATGAACAAGTACGACATGAGCACTGTACTGACACCACTGCTCAGCAATTCTAGATAATTCTGGCTTTATTCAGGGAATTTAGGCATTTGACACTATTCCAGTTGCCACTGTACCAACTTTTTGCTCCTCTGTAGGGCCCGACTAGTTCTGCTTTCAGGTTCCTTTCCACCCAAGCTCTCAGTGGAGTGGAGACAGCATTACCCACAGAGGCTCTGTGTTTCCACAGTGGCTCAAAGCTGAAGGCAGCTTGTGCTCTGTGCCACAGACCCTGCTCTTGCCCCTGAGAGAGGTCAGTGCTGCTGTGGAGATGGGGCCAGGAAACAAACCCAGCCCGCTTTGCCCTCTGCTCATCTCGCTGGTTGAGGCCAGAGTCAGACTGAGCTATGAACAGGGTCAAAGGAGAAATCACAAAACGCTCAACTCGTATTTCCCATCATTATTCCACAGCATCCAGACACCTCCCAGGTTTTCAGAAGCTGCTGAAGTGGACAAGACAGTAATATTCTTCAGAAAGTCATCAGCTACAAATTAAGCAGAGCCAGGGGGAGGAGAGATTCCTCCCAACTTGTAAATAAGTAAATGAAAAGTTAAGAGCAACAGACTGCAACTTGTGAATTGAGAACTTACTGTGAGGGTGGTGAGGCCCTGGCACAGGTTGCCCAGAGAAGCTGTGGCTGCCCCATCCCTGAAAGTGTTCCAGGCCAGGTTGGACAGGGTTTGGAGCAACCTGGGATAGCAGATGTCCCTGTCCATTGCAGATTGCATGAGCTTTAAGGTCTCTTCCAACCCCTATTACTCCATCATCCTCTGGACTTGGCAATGTTAAACTGTACCTGCTTAGCTTAATTACCTCATTGGAGGAGGATATAAAGTATGCACTATTACATGTTTTGAAGTCTCTTATGTTTTGCTGGATGAAAAGGTTTTAGAAAATCAGTAGCTGATAACTTTCTGGGTTCCACCATTTAGCAGCTGAAAGCACTTAGTTGAGCAGTATTTTTATACTCCATTCCCATTCCATACAGTCCTTGAATACTTACTCTTGTCTTAAACTAGATAACTGTTCTAAGCAGCAGCTTAATCTTACATCAAACTAACTTGAACATGGTTGAGCCCCAGCTCTAATCTGCTGGTATCCAGCTTGGCCTAAGTACCTGGAGTTCAGTATCACTGATGCACATGCTGAAAACCAGAAAGGAGCTCAGGAACTCAGAGATCATCAAGTTAAAACCCAAGGATTCTTGCTCAGTGAATACTGACTTTGTTCAGCAAAAGCACCTTAAATAAATCCGACTGGAACAAAAAGGCCCAAGCAGGCTTTAGTCTTTTTAGTATTTTACATACTCTAATAATGGATAAAGATTTGTAACAGACAGAGCACTGTGCAGCAGGCAGTTATTGCTCCATCCCCGAGACAATCACTGTTCCACATCCCTGTGGGTATCTTCATCCCAGTTTTGCATCATGCACATCTTTCTCTCCATGCTCCTCTCCCCCTCTTCCAAGGAGCCATGAAAAGGGAACCTCTCCACAGAGCATGGCTTTCTGTGAAAGGCCTCAGACACCAATCTCACCCCTGAAACTGCTAATAACGAAATAACATGTTAAGGCACAGGTGGCAACCTGCTTTCTTTCCTAGAAAGCACATACAGGACAATCTGTTCTTGGAGACTGCCTCTTCATAAGGATAGGGAAACAAGTACTAACCACTGAAACACCTTCCAGAGGGATGGATTCTGAATCCTCTGTATTTTAAGGATGCTGTAATTTTTCATAGTCTGATGAAACAGCTGCTTTATTTCATTGTATTCAGGGGTTGCACTGCTGATCACCACTGCCTATAAAATACAAACCAAAGCAAAAGAAGGCATGAGGCTGCAGTGAGCTTGGAACACGCAGAAGCCTAATTCCAGCAGATACTTTCAGAAGGGTTCCCAAATTATGCTTATGAAGGGTAACTAAATCATGACTATGTGAATAACCAAATATCAAGTAAATCAGTATGTCACTCCTGCTTTGCAAAGACACCTCACCTCTCTTCAGGAAAGATGCTGAAAGGTTTATCATCTCCAAGAGTTGACACTTGCAACTTTAAATCTCAATGGAACATAAATTACAAAAATAAAATTTGACAGATCATTCCAGATTATGCCAGTTTTATAACTAAAGCTGATTAAGAACAGAAGATGTTAGAAAACAGCATCATTTGTAACTAGACATTTGTGGGAGCTTCAGCTATTAAAGATGAAACAAAAAAAACACAAACACCCTCCTGGCATTGTAGTGCCTTACCTTTTCAAAGTTAGAACTTAGAAAGCTTCACTTAAACATGGACTTCATAAAAAAACCCTACATTTCTAAACAAATATGACACCGAACAGCTGCTTAAACAAATACATCTCCTTTCCCAAAAGGAAACAGTCTATTTAGCCATTATATTTATTTATCCATACATTTAGTGCTTAAAAATCCATTAAGAAATGCTCATTTTTCCCAAAGAGAATTTAATGCCAAACATAATTAAAACATTACTTGAGCTCTTCTGCTTATGTCATGCATAAATTTTCCATTTTTTCTCTAAAGTAACTTGTGTCTTTGATCTTCTACAATCAACATTTATCTCCATAAACTGCAAATGTGTGATGCTGGCAGGCTGATGTCACCTAGTAATACTTTCCACTTTACCACAATTTAAGCCAAGTGAGGACTCAAGATGACAGTGAGATCACAACACCCCATGTTCCAAAGTGTTTTAAGCAGGAAAGCTGGGGCCAACCTAGAAGGTAACAAGGAAACTCATGTCTTACCCTACTAGGTAAAAACTCACCGTTTTAGAAGGCTGAACTTTGAGAGGAAATAAAATAGGATAAAACTTGTGTTTCACAGCTACATTTACTTACTAATGAGGAGATCACTCACAGGGCAGTATTCTAAAGGTTAAGAATAAAGTCAGCTGCACAAGAAAGAACTATTTCTTTGAATTTATTTAAAAATCTTTAAAAAGTTGAGTGAAATTTCCTATGTCTCAATACAGGAGCATTTTCCAAAGCTCTACAGCACAACACATAAAACAATCAGGATGTGCAAGTACTGATTTTCTGCACGGTCTGTCGCACCACAGCCCAAAGCTGCTCACCATCACGTACAGGTTGAAAATCATGTCACTGTATTTCAGTACTACATCTTTTATTTAGAATCACTGAATAGTTTTGGTTGGAAGGGACCTTAAAGCCCATCCCATACCACCCCCAGCCACAGGCATGGACACCTCCCACTATCCCAGGTTGCTCCAAGCCGCATTCAGCCAATGGCTTTGGACACTGCCAGGGATGGGGCAGCCACAGCTTCTCTGGGCAACCTGTGCCAGGGCCACACCACCCTCACAGGGGAGAATTTCTTCCTAATACCCAATCTAACCCTGCTCTCTGCCAGTTGGAAACCACTCCCCCTTGTCCTGTCACTCCAGGCCCTTGTCAATAATCAGCTCAGCACAAGGGGGGTTCAGGGACAGGGCATGTCCTGCTCTCACCACGAGTACCCCCAAGTCCTTCTCCCAGTGCTGCTCCATCTGCTTATCCCCAGCCTGGACTGACCCCAGGGGTTGTCCTGACCCAGGTGCAGCACCGGTACTTGTTGAACCTTGTGTGATTCTCATGGACCACTTCTTGAGTTTGTCCATATCTCTCTGGATGGCCCTGTCCTTCAGGAGTGTCACCTGCAGTGTTCAGCTTCGTATCATCTGCAAATTTATTTATACATGAACAATTCCTCCTTGAACTACAAATATGCTTTTGGTCTGCTGCATCTTTCAGTCTCACGGTGTGATTCTTGGTGTGTCCAGTGCAGGGCCAGGTATTGGACTGAATGATCCCAATGGGTCCCTTCCAACTCAGCATATTCTATGATTCTATGATCCCTTCCTGAGGAACTGTAACCTTTCTAGGTAAAACAGAGGGTCAGCCATGTTATACAAGGCCTAATCCTGTAAGAAAACTTATCATATGACGGCCTCCGGACAACAAAGCTGCACTCTTTTTCCATGAAAACTTTGTGGGTTTGTCCTTATTTCCCCAAGGATGCTTCTAGTGCTAATAAAGGGTCACAGCACCACATTGTTGTTGAAGGCTGATAAGGCATAACTACACAACTTCTTCAGCGTTTTTCACTTTCAGGCCTGAAAAGGAAAATCCCACTGAGTGTGAGCATTTGCTACCCTTTTATCAAGGCGAAGAGTTCCCAAGGCAGAGAAGGAATCACTGCTCTGGCCAATTCCCACCAGTGTATGACTGCACAAGAGCAGTGACTCACACTCTGAGCTCTGCTTCTCTGGGGTTTTGGAAGGAGCAGCGTTGGTGCTGGTAGCAGTGACCCCACCAGAACTGACATCTATAAAATGCACACACTCTTCACATTGCATCCTGTGCCTGGTATAGTGCAGCAATCCTTGGCCTGCATGTGGCCACGATTCAGCAGCACATCAGCCACACAAAGACTGACAGGAAACCACACATCCAATGCACACTTTTCACAGTTGTGCATTAAAGAGACAATTTTAAACTCAGCATGAAGTTTCAGGATATAATAAATTCTTTTTTTTTTCTTTAAAACATTTAACAACTACTAATTCCACTTTCTTAAAACAAAGACAGGAGAAATTCACACCATTTTTTTCCAATCAGTGTTACCAATTTCCATTGTCCATTTTATACACTTCTTTCTACAAAACTATTCTCAGTGACTTACAGATTAAGACATGGCAGTACTTGAAAAATAAGCAATGTTACCAAAACACTTCTCATTTTAAGCTTCTCATTTTAAGCCAAGATGACTTCCTGCCTATCTCACAGGTTCCTTTTTAAAATGGATCACTTCCAGCGCAGCAGACTTTGCCAGGATTATTTGTCAATGTCTGACGAGAAGGCAGTTCATCGAGTTGTAGCTGTCAGCTCTTACAATGGTCACCACAAGTATGCAGAATCCCAGCCACTCCCAATATTACCTACTGCAAAAAAACAAGCTTAAGGTCCCACAGAAAGATTTAATCTAGCCAAGGCTTTCACTTTTAGTGCCAAAAGGTATCATGAGCATTATCACTTTTCCTTTCCTGTGAAAGGCACTAACAAGTTAAAATGTTTTCTTAGGTGCCAACTCAGCAAGCAAACTGAACTCTGGGGAACAAGGTGATCCTTCTACTCACACATCCCCACATGTATAACCAAAAGATACTATGGATCTGTGCAGTGCATTCCAAAGCCTCCCAAATTCACCCCAGAGACTCCAGAAACAGCCCAACAAATGTATACAACTAAAATTTAAACAAGTTTTCAGAGCAAGTATGGGAAGCAATTAAGTACATACAGCTCAAGAGACCTAAAAAGAACAGAGCTACCTGTCTTTCTGGCATTCTTTGGAAAAATTTATGCTGGTTAGTTAAGATGCTGATAAGCCAAAGGAAGAGTATTCCTTTGTTACTTCCACTGAGCTCCAAATATCATAGGCAAATCTTTAAATGGGCTCCCTGCCAGATTCCCACACATTCTCATTATTGTTTCATCTTTTCTTTATGGAAGTCAAGACTCAACAGGAGGGTGTCTCTAACAGTTTTGTCTGACCCTGTCCTCTAGGCAGTAAATAATCAAGTGTACTTTGCCATCAAATCTTGTTAAACCACTGGCACCTTCACTATGGAATTTTGTTAAAAATGGTGATTTTATATCAATATAGCACTGCTTCTGTCTTGCAAGTGAAGTGCTTTACTCCATCCATGACACTGACACACAGCCACACACTGGTGTTCCTCAGCCCCCAGGCTATCTGTGCCACCACAACCTGGTCAGCATCACACAAGATTCTGTGACACAGTCAGCAAGGAAAACCTCGTACACTTCTGTTCCTCAGGCAGGATCAAAACCACTAAACAAAGGGCAAGTGTAACATGAAAAAGCCTTTTTTTCTAGAGTCCTGTAGTACTTCCACAAACTGTGCTGCTCTTCCAGAAGAACTGCAGGACCCAGCAATCTAAAAACACCCACATATTTTGGTGTTGGTGGAGCAAATAAGAACACTGACCTTGGGCTGTTAGGGGTTGGGCTTCTTTTAAGGAAGACATCACTGCAATTTTGTTGGTTTTTTTTTATTTTATGGTTGTAGACCTTTATGTCTGCCATTTCTTGAGGCCAAGGTCTGTGCTCAGACCTCTGATGTATGTGACAGTACTGAAAGATATAGATTTCCTTTCCTAGATCTCCAATCCAAACTTACTCTTCCTGTCTTGAATTTGGTGAGTTTTGGGTTTGGTGTTGTTTGGAGTTTTGAGTTTTTGGTTTGATAAGTTTTTGGTACCTAGAAAAACGCCTAAGATGCAGTAAAAGTTCAAGGCAATTTGGCACCTGTTTCATGAGCCCTTGGGAGGTCACCTAGATCTTTAGCACACCCACCCAAGAAATTACTCCTGTCCCTTTTTAGCATCTACACAGTTAGAGCTAATTCAGTTAAGCTTGAACTGGGCCTTTCCCATGAGAATTACAAGAAGGAGGGAAAAAAGATACCTTGTATCCCAAGTCAGGCAGTGCAGATGCATCCCAGTGACTAGGAATTGAAGAATCCCTCTGGCTGCTTGCAAACAGACAGGAAATGCAGTGTTAGTAACACTAGTACTGCTCCAAACCCTCGGATTTGGAGCATCCCCTTTGGCCAATTCCGGGATTTAAAAATTAACAAAATAAACCACTAAGAAACTGGGAAAGAGCCTCAGTCTGTAAGCTGGGCACTGCATGCGGCCACTCAACTATCACAGGCCTCTTGCAGTTGCTTTTTTAAGTAACAGCTGTGGCTGGAGTACCTGGAGTAACGTGTGCCTCAGGCAGCAGGTGATGCACCAAGACTGCAGTTTGTGATAGAGCTTCTGTTGCTCAGTCCCATGGATAGGCTTTCTCCAGCAGCACCTGCATTCTTTGTACAACTAATGCCAGCACTGGGAGCTATTTTGCCTTGTAATTACTTCTAAAATATGAAAAAACAACCTAAAGAGCACTTACCCT